GATATACTTTAGTTTGTCCATTTAAAAAAAGTCTCAAAAATGAATTTAAGGAATGATTGATGCAGAAAAATTCTGCTTTATTGCAGATAAATAAAACAACAATAATAAAAATGGTTTTCGGGAAAATTTTAAAAATGAATCATTTAAATAAAAATTAAATTACATTTACTTGTTCGTTTCTTTTATTTTCAAATATAAAAAAACAATAAAAAACCAAAAAAAAAAGAAAAGAAATATCAACTTAAGGAAAACATTAAGTTTGGAGATTGAAGGGATAAAATGAATTATTGAAACTTTTAATAAGTAATCAGCTGCAGCATTTTAAATGACTGGACATCTTTCATGATGCATCTCTACTCTTACTTAATATCAAAAATGGAGTAATTTCAATTTTCTTAGATAATTTAACATTTAAAAAATTTCCAATATTTTAAAAATATTCAAATATTACTTTATATTTCTGATGAAAAAAAATTCAAACTTTTTAGAAATACATTTAAAGTTTAAAAAACTTTAAAAAAGTGGAAAGTTTTCAGAGGATAAATATTGACGATTTGATAATGATTATAATGATAATGATATAAAGGAGAATGATCAAAGAAGTACTGATGTGAACTGGATGAAAATGAGGTTACCATTAAATCTCACACACACTGAATCGAACAATGTCACAAATTTCAACAAATCATCCCATCCATTATTGATAATTATCGCTTTGCATTCATCTCTCATTGCTATTCTTTGTTTGTCAAACGATAAAATTTGAAAAAAAAAAAAACAAATGCACATAATTTAGTTTTTTTTCCCTCTCTCTCTCTCTTTCTCAAATAAATTTTATGAAAATATTTGTCCGAATTTTTTCAAAAATATACCGTTTTCTTTTGTTTTTTTTTGTCTTAAAATTAATACAATATGACATCGTTAATTGGCTGATCGAAAATTTTGAAATTTGAAATGTAAAATTGAAATTGAAATGAAATAAGAAATTTAAAATTAATAAAATGAGGGAAAAAACAGTCTGTGATAGGAAAACATCACAAAATTATACCACACTTATATTTTTTATTAGCTCAGATTTAAATGTCAACATCATAATTTACACATTTCATTAGTGCGCTGAATGATAAATTTGATAAATATGTAATAATTAAGGTCTTTTCTGTTTTGAACAATTGATGTGACTGATTAATTATACATTTTAATTACATTTTAATTACAAGGAGCATTTTAATTACAAATATTTTAATTTTAATAAAAATGAGTACATTTCTACGATGAGAATGGCGATGCATGCAATCAAATTAACAGCAATCATCGGATAAAAAATTTTGAGAAATATCAATCCGGAAGTGGTTTAAAATTTGCAGCAAAATTTTACATTTAATTTGCGGCTTTGCATTAAAAAATGAAAAAAAAAATTAAATTCTTCAATTAATCAAAATATGTAATGTTAGGACAGAAAAAAAAAACATTAATTTCAATGTCACAGCTATATTTATCTTTCACTAATAAAACTTGATATGCTATATCATCCGTCTTTTTTTCTTTCTCATGAATTTTTGGAGTTTATTTTTTCTTTTCTTCAACTTCATTTTTAAACGGAAAAATTTTGAAATTTCGAATACTTTTGATTTTTTTGATATAACGATGAAAAAAAAAACACACCGAAGTGAAGTGTAGGAAGTAATGAATGAAACCGATGTATATATATTTTTTTAATTCAAATAGAAATTAGAAATTGATGAGCTGTATTGAATTGTTGTGAAGTTGCAATGAAATTCATTTTGTTCAACAAAAATTGAAAATTAATGAATTACTTTGATTTAATTCAAAATTATAATTTATTTATTTGAAAACAAAAATTGATATTAATTTATTTTCACTGATTATTCGAAACTTTTTTCCAGTAACTTAAAATAATCAGATGACTTCAATATTTTTGATGCATTCATATTTGAGAGTAATATGACCTGTTAAGTATACATATTCTTGATTATAATACATAAATGACATTTAGATTTTTTGCCTTTTCACTTCTAATTATTGAAATTCGTTTAAATTCATCACAATCAGAACAACGAAAATGCCTGTTTACATTCCGAATATGCATAATTCACGATATCATTTTTGTCATTTCGACATTATCAACTAATTCAAATAGAATTTTATGATATTAAATGATAATGATAATTTTATGATAATAACAACATTTCATTCAAAAAAAGAATTATTTCCTTACAAAATAACTAAACAATGATATTATGTATAGGAAGAGAAGAGTTGTTGATAAAATTTCATCAATATTAAAATGAATAAAATAAAAAACAAACAGAGCAAAATATTTATCTTACCTAACAATTAAATAAAAGTTTATTAAACAAGAACAGATCTTTTTCTCTTGTATCGATGTTTACATGGTAGAAAATCTTTCAGATGTAAACGTATAGCCGGATTACACATGTAAATAATGATACGAATTGCACTAGTAAACATGTAAACAAAACTGACTGTATCCGAAAAAACGGTATGAAAAGTACTTGCCATCATTGGATCATCGGGATCACGAAGGATTGAAATTTTTGATCTAAAATAAATAAAAAAAGATGAAACAAATTATTATTTCTGATAAAAAGAAAAATAAAAAAATTAGGAAAAAAAAGACAAAGTATCAGTATTATTGCTATTGAAAAAAGAAAAAAAATAGTTTAAAAAATTAAAAAAATTAAATTTTAATTAACGTTTCTATCGGAATGAAAAAAAAATAAAAGAAAGTTGAAAAAAATAAAAGAATTGAAACCTTTCTAAAACTGTAAGTATCAAATGAAGACTATTACTGATAAGATAACTTGTAACAATAGCAAACATCGTACAAACAGCATCACGAACTGGAGTGGGCATTTTTCGTAGCGGTTTTACTGTTACAACAGATACTGGAAGGAAAAAAAATTTCCATTATTTTTTTAAATTTCAAAAGACCTAAAAATCTACAATTAAAAAAATTGTTATAAAGAAATCTATTTTAAATATTGTTTATAATATTATTTATTAAATGTTCCACTAATAGCTATAAAAATTAAACAAATTAGATTTAACCTAAATAGGTTAAATTTTTGCGATTATCTAGCATGATTAAATTTAAAGGCATATAAATTGGATGAGCTTTTTCGAAAGCACACCTTTTTTGAATTTATTCAACATCATTTAAATTTATTCAGTTTTAAGTACGTTGAAATTCAAGTTAAAATTGAATAAATTTAAATGATATTAGATATGAAGTTATTTGAAGTTCAAAAATACATTGAAATATATTGTATTTAATTCGAATAAACAATAACACTTTTATAATTCCATTATATGCCTTTTCTTCTGTCAAAAGGATAAATGTTTTATAGCATTTTGACATTTACATCGATGAAGTGCTAATTTTCCTTCTTTTTATATATTTGCTGAATGTTTCAAGATGGCAATATTGATTTAATGTGATAATTAATAGAAATATCGTCTTGATAATATAACATACCTTCATTTTCCATTTGATACAAGAGATCATCGTGTTTTTTGAACTTTAAACTCCATAGAATATTTGATGATTTTGGTTTATGTTCACGTATTGAAGCGTTTCGATTTGATTGATCAAAGGCGGATAAAGAATTTGATATGATAAATTGATTTTGATCTTCTTGCAAATGATGATGATTGGAAGTAAAATGTTGATTTAATAGGCAATGACCATTTTTTTGATTTATTTCGTTGATGTTTTCTCTTTGCTCATCCAAATTTTGCTTTGGTAATTTTCGAATAATAATCTGTAAAGTTTTTGAATATTTTCTAAATTTTCAGCAATTGATTTTTAAATTCAAATGCTTACAGCAACGAAAACAAAACCTCTGAGTTTAATTTATAACACTAGGGAAGGGAGGTTTTAAGAAATATTAAATTCCAATATTTGCATAATATCATTAGTGAACTAATAATTTAAAGAAATGAATGGTATATTTGAAAAACTTACAAAATTAAATACAACAAGAACAATAAATGGAATAAATGTTTGAGCAATTGATAACAGATGAAAGTCGAAGAAATAATAAATTTCACTTTCGTGTACCCAATCAGCTGGTCCGGTACTTTGCGTGCGTAAAAAATCATTACAATTTGGAAAATGATGTACCTAACAAGAAAAGCGATGAATTTTTTTTTTTGTTTGTTTGTTTCATCTTTTGAAATAATTAAATTTGATATTATATCGTAATTAAGTTATGAATTTGAAAAGGAAAAACTATTTGTTAATTTATTTATCGGAAAAAATTTAGCATTTAATAGCGGTAACAAAAAAAAGAAAGGAAAAAAGAAGAAAAAAAGATAGATGTGATCTATCTTATAATGGTTAATTATTATTATTATTATTTTTTAAATATTATCACAATTTATAGCTACAAAATTGATGAAGTTTGATAAAGTATTGGATTTTGTTAGTTTTGGAAATTTTTATCGTAGTTTTTATCCATAATTAAATATTCATATCCATATATAGTTAGATCTGATTTAAAAATTTTAGCATAACACTAGAATAATTAAATTATGCAAAAAATATATGAATAAATCCTTTTCAGAAGATTGAAAACAAGCTAAATGGATACTGCAATATGCCCTTATTAAAATAATGAGGCTTTGTGGAAATTATCTATGACTTACTTATTATAGTTAAAAATATCAAATGTCAAAAATATCTTTTTGAAAATCCTACATAATTATGGCTTTCGTTTTACCATATATTATCATATTAGCATTGCATTATTAATGACAATTTGAAAAGGATAGAATCAAACATAAATGAATTCGAAATCAACTTTTAATAGCTCTAATTTTGATTAATTAATTTTGGAATCAACGAAAAAACAGCTCTAATTTTTGTTCAAATTAAATCGAAACCAACGAAAAAAATAAACTTTTGATAGCACTAATTTTGATTAATTAAATTGATAGATAGATAGATATAGGTAGATAGATGGAGAAATGAATAGATATATGATTTAAAGGTATAAAATGACGTACTACGATAGCAAATGCTGTTGGTAGACGTGAAATGGTACAACAAAGTAGCAGAAGAAAGATTGTAACTTGATGACCTCGATCGCTGAACATTTGTTTCAAAAATTTCGTAGTTTGCTGGCCTGATATCCATACAAAACGTTCCAGTGTCGTTAAAATTAGCATATATGGAATAGCTAATTGTGTTATTCGGCTTATAACAAATGCTGGTACAATGTAAATATGATATAATATGAATAAATTCTGAAAATATTTAACAATTATAATAATTTATTTTTATTACGTAGATAGTATTCTTACTAATGCCTGAAAAGTACTTTTTTTCTCGAATTTACTATTAATGCTATAACATACATTAATGCATTTATTGACATCAAAAGGTATGCATTTAATTATTTATTCATGCGAATCGAATTATTACTGTTAATTATTTTAATATTAATAGCAAAGAAAAGCTTACGGAAGCTTGAAGATAAACAATTGCTGCATCAATTCCAAATAACATAATATAGAGGATACAAATTAAGGCATCAAGAATTGCCAATACTACAAAAAAATATGGATTAATTTATTGATTTTATAATTCATCAACAAAAATATCATTTAATTAAAACAAAAAAAAATCGATCAATATTGTCTTGTAAAAAAATTAATCGACATTTTTTTTTTTAAATTGAATAACACACGTTACCAGTGGGATATTTGGTGGATGTTGGATAAGTTCGTGTCACAAATATATATACTAAAAGTAAATTACCACAAGTACCAAGCCACGCAATAAACGATGCTATCATCAAAAATACAAACCGTGCCAATGTGTAAAATTCCGACTGAAATTTTTTGTTAAAAAAATAATATAATTTTGAACAACAAAAAAAGACTTTTTAGGAAGCATAAAAATTTTTCATTAGCAATAAAATCATTTTTTCAAAAAAAAAAGCAAAACTAAAAACAAAAAAAAAGGTTAAAATGTAAAATTTGTATGCATTTTACATTGCGAAACTTTCAACATCCCACAATTTTCAATTATTTAATTTATTTTCCTATTTTTTCTTCTTTAAATGTAAAATGATTAAGGGATTTTTTTTTTTGGTTCTTCTGCAAAATTTGTTTTTAACCGAGCAGTTTTTTTTTTTAATTACATAAATTTTGTACTTTGAAAAACTGATTATTAAACCATTTCTTAAAAATGCAACAAAATTTAATTTAAATTATTGCACCTTTCCATGGAATGAAATGGAGAATGAACGAAAAAAAGATGAAGAAGAAATGTTTGCGTTAAATATTCATTGAGAATATTTGATGATTGAAAAATTAATTTTTAAAAATTTTTCGATGCTATACAATTTTATTTCATGTTAGTGAGAAACAATGTCATGCAAAAATTTGAAATAGCTGTTGCTCTTTTTGAAATTACTTTGAAGCATTTTTGCCAGCAAATGACATTGAAATTTTGTTAAATTAAAAAAAATATGTTAACTGATCAATCGATCAATTAATCAATCGATTAATCAATTAATTATAAGCATTAAATGTACAATAATTTCTATCAGTTAATTATTACATCGATTTATTCGTAGATATAAAGTAGTGACAATTTGCATCAGTTTATCAACTGATTATTCTATCAGCTAATTAACTAAATCTATATTTAAATTTTCGAAAAGCTTATGATCCTATACTTTGTCTTGTTATCAAGACCCATTAATTCATTCCTTCATTTATTCTATTATTATAATTCACCAAATGTATTCGATTTATTTACTGGAATTCATTAAATTTTAATTATTTTAATCACTTGTTTTTGTAGCTTGAAAAGAAATTTTTTTCATTTTTTACAGTTTGAAAATTCCTTTTATTGATAAAATTTTTCAATATTTTATTTTAGTACAAAAATTTTTATTGTTAAAATTTTGTTTTTAAAATGTATGTGCACATTTTATGCTTGAAATTATTTAGAAATTTTTTCTACGCTTTTTTTAAAAATGATTTTATTCGTTTTGTGCTTGCATATTCAGTGAGCAAAAAAAAGGTAAATAACCATTTTTCTTTTATTTTCCATTTTTTTTAATTTGATATTTGCTGCTAACTGGTTACAAAATAGGAAAAATGTAGGATTAAAAACACAGTTAAATGTAAAAAAAAACGCGGATATTTGCTTTTTCCATTACAGCCAAAGGAAAAAAAAATTTTTCAGCTTTTTGGAACGCAGAATTTTAGAATTCACCAACATTTTTTTAATATATAAACATTTTTAGATTGAATTTTTTTCAAAAAAAGAGCAGAATTGAAATGGCAATTTTGTTTCTGATGATAATCATTTTATGTCAACAATAATTGCTGGGATTAGTGATGACGTTTCAAAATTTTTGATTTTTTTTTTGTTGTTAATCTTTGGAAATGAATGGAAAATAAGATATTGAAAAAAAAATCAGTAATAAAAAAGAAATTGAATGATAAATTGTTGCCAGGTGGATGAAGCACAAAATAACAGGTCAAATAAAGTTTTGGTGTATGGAAATTGTGAAAATAAGAAAATAAGATGATACAGTGTGAGAAAATTTTTGAAATTAAAAAATCATTTTCAATTGAAATTTGTATGATATTGTTAATGAGAGTGGAAATTTCCAGAATTTGTTAGAAAGGGAAAAAGATTAGATTTGTGGCTCAAAATCTGTTGGATTAATGAAATGGTAGTAAGGAATTGAGAACAGTCATTTGAAAAATTCATTTAACTGAAAGATTTTGAAATTGTATGAAGTAAAATAAGGCATAATCAAATAAAAAAAGTAACATTCTGTTTAGTATTTGATTATTTAAATCAATTATCATAAAAACACAAATCAAAAAGTCCTGCTGAATTAATTGTCTTAAAAATAGCAATTATAAAAAAAAAAATAAGCCGTTTTTTTTGTCGAATAACTGATGGTTTAAAATTTAAATTTTCTAAATTACAAAAAAATTCTACAACAAGCGGACAAAAAAAGAAAAAGAATTGCGAACGAAAAATTTACATCACCGCACAGTTCTGATTCCTGTATTTCATTCCTATAATTATCCACCAGGAATAGTGTATCGTTTTCCATAGAATTCTCCAGTAGTTAAATGCTAAAATAAAATTTTCAAAATAATTCCACATAAGAAAACAAGTCTTTTTTCTTTTTAATTCTGATAGTAAAAATTTTAAATTAAATTAAAAATTGTTCACACATGATTATTGCAAATTATCAAGAGCACAAATACTCTTTTAAATTTTAGCAATCATTTTTCACTTACAGAGGAAGCTTGCAAACCAAATTAAACATTTAACTTAAATTACTCGTTATAATTTAATTTTGTTTTCATCAATCCAAAGTGCCACTTTTTCCACATGTATTATTTCATGCCATTAATGTATTGCTGATTAAGTTTCGTGATAGAAATTGAAATAATTTCTTTTCTTTTTTTTCTTTTCATTTTAAACCTCGATGATATTCTAGTTTTTTTTTTGTAGTAATACATTTAATGATTCTATTTTCTCGATATATTTTAGACCATTTCATGCTGCTAATCTATGCTAGTTAGATTTTGCAAAGAAAATTGAAATAATTTTTTCCTTCTTTAAATTTTGCAGTTGCATTCCTTGTAACTTTCTTTTTACTTGATATACTCAGTGGCTATACTTAACAATGTTTTATTTATTTAGGAGAGAAAAAAAAGTTAATCAAATAGAACTTGAATGAACAAACGAATATATACATACTTATATTTTAGACACATATTTAATATATATTTTAGATAATGAAAGTGCCATGAATATATCAATACTTGGAAAAACAATATAGAAAATTCTTTAAAAAATTCAAGAATTTCATCGCATTTGAAAAAAATACGAAAATAAAACATAA